CTTTTTGTTGCTCCTACGTGAAGTTTTGGATCCTAGTCATGGCATGTTTCAAATTAATGAACAATCTAATCTTCAGTGGTTTAATCCCTTGGTAAATATGTTTTCTTTTTGGCATTCACTTGTTATGTCTATTCTCATTATTTTGAATCACCATCATTTTTGTACTTAAACGAAATAATCATTACAGTAATAAATTTATCAGTATAGTTTAAGAATACTTGCTCCAGTTTCCGGTTTGTTTATTGCACTGTAGATGAAATCAGAAATTGCTGTTGGTTTGATAAATAAGTCTGGACAGTTACATTTGCAAGATAGAAATGATACTTTTTCTGGGTTAATGTTGGGCACAAGTTTCTCTGCATCATATTTTATTGTCCATGGCAAGAGTTATCCAATATTTATTGATATTATCAAATCCACAGACTTCTGAAAAGCCTGAGAAATTTCACATGGTTGGTGTTTTATGTGGACTTGCAATATATAATTTAACAATCATTAATCTGCAATTTCCATTAGCATTGTTCAAAAAGCTACTGAAAAAGTGAGTTCCCCTTTTTTCTTATGTCATTAGACTTTCTGTTTAAAAAATCAATATTTATTTCAGCTAGATGACAATGGAAAATCAGGATCTTTACTAGAGTTATCATTCGATTATGTGTTTCCAACACATTCCAGTGCTTGTTCAATTTCATGTTAACAAATGCCTTTTATTGTTAAAAAAAGCTTTGGTTAATTTTTTGGGATGCTAACATTTTTCAGAGATAAATAATTGGAGCATATTTTGCTATTTACAAAACCAGCCTGGACATTGCTCTAATATTATTTGGTTCTGCTATTGCCTTTCTGAGGATCTTGACAAAAACACTTTGACATATATTTCTGTTTGTCAAGAGTACATTTAGTAAAAGCTGGTAATGTAAAGTTGCCCCTTCAGACCTTGCGATCTATAGGGTAGATGATGTAAAGATCATCTTTTTCTGTGGCTAACAAGCATGTGATGTGGCCATCACAAGAACCCATTGCCTTTACTTTACCCAACTAATGTCAGGTACTCATTAGAGTTGGGTGGACTCAGAGGCGCCTCAATGATCCGAAATTAAAAAGTCTTCTCCAGGATTTTTAAAACCTTAAAGTTTCTTTTCCTTGTACCAAGTATATTTTTAAAACCTTAAAGTTTCTTTTCCTTGTACCAAGTATATAAAAAAAAATATCTTCAATTGGGACTATTTTTGAAACATTTAGAAAGTACTTTTATTTCTAAGATACCCTTTATATCAGGGGACTTTGATTGATGATGGAATTTAGACTATCCTCATTGTAATTAGATTTTAATTTCAGACCTGTCACATTAGATGATTTGAAAGAGTTTGATCCAGTTTTTGGAAGGTACTGTAATTTTTGTTTTTTTAAACATTTATTATATATATATAGTTTTTCTTGAAGTATAGTCAAAAGTAAAAATTGTAATTAAATTTTAAAAGAGAAAAACAATTTATTTTGAGAAAATTGTTTAAACCAATTTCAAAGAGAACTTTTCAATAAAAACATTTTTAAAAATGTGTCTTCAATTTTGTTTCTTGTTGAAGTGGATTGCAAGACCTACTGGATTATTTTGATGCTGATATTGAGAATAGATTTCTTTTCTTTTTTGAGGTAAATGCTGAATGTTTTTGTATTGCCTATATTTTAGCTTCATAATTCCTTCACGTTTTGTCATTTGTCAAATATATAAAGCTTTTAAAAATAAAATTAGTTTTATATTTTAAAAGCCTATAATTGTGCATGTATGATTATTTTCTCTATGTCTGAGCTGTGTAAAAGAAACAAAAATTTACTTTTTTTTTTTAGCAGTAATTAAAAAGATGTTTACAAAAAAAGAATTGTTCTAAAACTTACTTTACAGGATGTATGTCCAGAACTTCAAAACATGCCAGTAAATCACACCAACAAGTAAGTTTATATTCAAATTAAATAGTTTCCTTGACAAGATAAACCATTATCAACATTTTTTTAAACCTCACTTAAAAATTGTAGCTTCATGACATTGTATCCATCCATCCACCCAGTGGCACTACAGCCCATGGAGGGCTCTGGCCTGCTTCAACACATCCTTCCATTCAGATCTCTCCTGGGCCTTTAGTCTCCACGCCCTAACCCCAAGCTGTTGCAGATCTGCTTCTACATCATCAATCCATTGCATTCAGGGTCTGCCTTTGGTTTTTGCCTGTATATGATTTTTGCTCCACTGTTATCTGACATTCTTTCAAGGTGACCTGCCCAACGTAGTTTGATCTTTTTTATTTCGGTCACTATTGGTGGGTCTTCATATAATTGATATATCTAATGGTTAGTGCGTGTCCTCCACCCTGACATTGTATGGAAGAATTAATTGAACTTTTTTTGTGTATGAACCAGTTTAAAAAACTAAAGATGAATCTCTTAAATGCATGTTTCACTTTTAAAAGGTCATGCAGAGGTAATGCTATTTCAGTTCACATGCTCATTTAGAAAATCTGTGTTAGCAACCTATATTTTATCTTTTGCTTTAGAGAAGAATACACCAAACTGCATGTTGATAAATTATTCAACAAGTCAGTAGAAGTTCAGTTCAAAGCTTTTAGTGAAGGATTTCATAGTGTGTGTGGTGGCAATGTCTTGGATTTATTTCACCCTCAAGAACTCCAGGCCATGGTAGTTGGGAATGAAGATTATGACTTTGATGAATTAGAAAGGGTACATCTTATTTTATGTCTTTCATTATTTTGTATTTGTATGCTATTTCTCTTGAAATTTGGATATGTGTTTGCTATTTAAGTATTGCAGTGGGGAATACATTAAGATATGTATATATTAAAACATTTTGATAACATCTTGTCATTACATTTTAATAACATTTTGTCATTATTATCATTGTTCATTTATTAATCATACAATTTGATACATGATAAAACTGTATAATATTTTTAGAGGCTCTAGCTATTGAAACTAATTTAAAAAATCAATTAGTGAAATATTATGGGCCTAACAGTAAAATACACTTAGTGATAAAATTTAGTTTAAAAAAAATTATATCATTTTTATCAGTTGAATAAAATGTAGTTTCAATAGACTCACTTGATACACTTCACCACTTGCAAAATCTATTTGATTTACTCTGGCAAAGCAAACATCACTCTGATTTTAATTCTTGTATGTTAAGCTCATTTTGAAAAAGAAGTTTACACATGTATTAGATGTATTTGGGGTATTTTTTTTTAATTTAATGAAAATAGATAGAATTCTTAGAAACCCCATTGTCCTTTTAAGTGTAGTGTAACGTTTTGTTCTAAGTTTAAGGATTGAGTTTAGAAATCTAAGTGTTAGAGCTAGTTTGAGAATTAGTCTTGGTGTATTGAGTTTTACAATAGCATTGATCTAATATAACTTTTAAAGTTTTAACTTAAATATTTTCCTCTTTTTTTTCACTCAATAATTTTATCTATTACATAAATTGTGAAAAGTTATTTTTTTCCCACTAGAATACTCAATATGAATCTGGCTACAACAAAGATCATGCAGTTATCAAAATGTTTTGGCAATTTTTTCATGCAATGAGTTTGAAAGACAAAAAGAAATTTTTATGTGAGTTTCCAGATCTTTTTGTAATGACTTGTGAAAACTTATTAGATCATATAATACTACATACCAGTTGGTTCTTTTTTAACTTATGTTAAAAACTATATTTTTTTATCTTTCAGTGTTTTTAACAGGCTGTGATAGGATTACAATCTTTGGCATGAAATATGTTAAGGTAATAACATCATTGTCTATTGGAGATTTTTGTTGTTAAAATAAATAAACAAAGTAAGCAATGTTATTGACACTTATTGAAAGCTCCAAGTAAAAGTTTCCAACTAAAAGTTACCTTGAGCTACAAGAGGAAGAGCTTTAAGAAATTTTTATTTTAATTATTGGTAGGCCTCCATTCATGAACATACCCACCATATGCAAGAATTATTTTTGTTTGATAAAATATTCTTTTTAAATGGTTTTTAATGGTATTATTAATCGAATTCTAGATAACTATTCAGCTTGACTTCAGAGGTGTTTCATTCTTACCATCTGCCCATACATGCTTCAACATTTTACATTTGCCATGCTACACTGACAAGGAAACTCTGCAAACAAAGCTTCTAATGGCCATACAACAAACTGAAGGCTTTGGCATGATGTAAACAACTGACATATTGCTTTTAGTTTCATTTGAAAGTAATGTAGTAGAGACTTTTGCTTTGAAGAAAACAGAATTTGCTTAAATAATGTTGGTCTGGATTTTTTTTCATAAATTTCTTTTTTTTTATTGGTCAGGTTTAGCAATCCATGAAACTTAATAATCAATATTTTAGGGGTAGTAGAGAACATTCATTTGTTTTTTTAATTCTAAAAAAAAATAACACTGTTTTGGTCGCTAGTGCAATCTCACAGGCAAGAATGTAGTTTTCATTACCTTATGTAGGTCGTCATAGAAATCACAATTTGAAAAATACTTCAAGAATTCACATTATGAGAATGTTTTTAAGTCATTAAATTTATATCATAATAATCTTTATTTTTCTATTGTACATCCTGTTATTGTACCATAAGCCTCATGAATCAGTAGAATTAGTTTTGTCTATTTCATTGCAACCGTGGTTCTGATTGTCTTATGTAACAGAATGTTTACGCTGGATATATTATTTGTTTAAATTTACAGTGAATATGCTTTTGAATAATCCAACTTGCAAAGACTGAAACAAATGTAGTCATTTACAAGTTCAATAGAGTTTATTATTTATGAAGTGTTTAAATTAAGTTTAGTTTAAATTTTTTTTTCCAAATAATATTACCTGCCTAATTATAGAAATACCTGTTTTAAATAAGAACTCATCTGAAGATTGGAAAAGAATATTGCCAGTTTATATTTGTACATATACAGAAAATGTTTATATTTATTTAATTTTTGAAAATGTTTTTTGTAATATATATATATATATATATATATATATTAGAATGTAGTCCAATATTTTAACTAAACTTTTGAAAAGAATACAAAATGTTTTAAAATAGTTTTATCAGTAATCTAAATGTTGTGAAAAGTGAAAATATAAAAAGAAAATTAGTTCTTTCATCATTTATGTAGAGTTGACTTCAGTTTTCTGATTTGTTACAACCTGTCATTTAACTAGAGTTGACTTTAATGTTCAGATTTATCATAATTTGTCATATAGCGAAAAATAAATATTTGTGATAATTTAATATAATTGTTTGGGGATGTAAAGTCTGAGTGGTAAAGTGCTTGGCTCCTAAATTGTGGGATTTTATGTACGAGTCTCATGGAATACTGGTATTGAACGTTTTGGATTTTTAGGATGCCTTGGGTCCACCCAAATCTTATGAGTACCTGACATTAGTTGGGGTGAAACAAAGGAGGTTGTCATTGTGCTGGCCACATTACACCCTTGTTAACCATTGGTTTTAGAATCAATAAACCTTTTCATCTGCCCTTTAGATGGCAAGGTGGTAACATTACATTTTACGAAATAATAGAATTGTTTAAAAAAAAACTAAAGTTAAATATTATATAGTTCATAATAATCATGTAATGGCCAAATAAAAAATATAATGATAAAAGTATTTGCTTTGTTATACATTTCATTCCTTCTGATACTAAGAGTCTAAGTCTTAGTTTTGCATGTTTTGTGGCACTTTAATCTTAAGTATATAACAAGCTGAAGTATTTTATCACAATAATGATTTTCAAATGGCAGACATCTTCAAACGTTATCAAAGGAGGCTCTCTGCATCTCCTTTTTGTAATTTTGTAACTGAAGCTTTATCTGACATAGTTCTATTAAATGTATTCTATCTTACAAAAGATTTTTTCTTGTTCTCGACATAATTTTAAAAAGGGATGTTTACAGACAATGTGATTTTCAATATTTATTGAAATTTTTAAGACAGAATAAAAAAATATCAAGTTAAGACTTAATGCATATCAATCTCAGGTCCTAAGGGGAAAGTATTCAACTAACATTGTCTAGTTAAGTCAATTTTACTGTGTATTGTCTCCCTCTGTCATACTGGTGCGTGCATTGGGTGAAGTCTTGCTCTCGTGTCTCCCAACTTGCTCTGATGGCAGATGTTTATTATTGTCTGCATATAGTGATGAACACGTGGGCATTCTCTGTTCATTTGGCGGTTGTATGATTAAAGGATTCGGCCAAGGGAATTCTGGTATTGGTCTTTTCTCTAGTGATGGAAGACGCCGCACTCTAGGCTTGACTGACAAGTCTGGTGGCCAGCATCCTTCCTGTTGATTTAGGTCTGCTGGAAATGGTCTTTGCTGGGGAGACATGTGCGAATACCTGATTCCCTTTCCGCTACGGTGGCGACTAGCCGAATCACCAATTTCGTTGCGGTTCACAGGAAATTGAGAGATGCATCTCTCTGAGGTCTGCTGCTTATCTTGGCGTTTCTTCTTCACTCTGTTGAGGCGACGAGGAAGTCGGGCATAGGAGATATCCCTTCGAGTAACATTATTAAAGGAAACACTTGAGCTGGTTCTTTTATTTGGTGGGTCTATGTTGACTTCCTCTGGGGCTGGACTGTGTTTAGGAGCCTGAACTTTTTGGGTCACTGTGGCATTTACATCTACAAAAGATTTCTTATGAGATGTCATTGGCCTAGCTGCACTCGCCTCACTTGTCCATGGTCTGTTTGGCAAAGTGATCAGAAAGTTTTCGGCTGCTTGAGTTTCGCTCGGACAGGTGTGAGGCCGAGAATTTTTCCGAAGTGCGGATTTTAAAAATTGTGCATTTAAAGTTGTGTGCTTCTGATGACACTCTTCTTGTTGAGATTGCAAGTCTGCATTTAATAAAGTGGGAATTCGTTCAACAGACGTGTTTAATTCTTTCTGGTCAATCCGGAACTGATCAGAAATAGTACTGGCTCCATGCTTGAAATAGGTGCTTAGAATTGAGTTTTGTTCTTTACAACCACTTAATAGTCCGGGCGAGTTAAACTTCATGTGGAATGAGTTTCGCCTTTTTCGATTAAATTTTGGTCTTTGGTAAGAAGAAAACGGCCTTTTAATGCGTGAGTCGTGATTGCGGTGAGATAGAGATAAATCATGATGAAATGAATTACGTCTAAGAGGAGTCGAATTTTTTCTTTGATTTGACAATTCTGCATTTTGATGAGAAGAAAGTAATTTCTGATGAACAGTGGCCAAATTTAAATCTCGTTTTTGAGAGCATGAATCATCACTCATACAAATAAAAGAATGTTGGTTCAATGGCATTATTGATAAAATTTTACTTTCTGTCATTTTCTGGGAGGCTGTCAAAGCTTCTGGTTGATATTGTGACTCGGAAAATGTTGGTTGATCTATTTCAGTGTTAACTCGAGATTGATTGTTTGTTGGTTGGCCTTTGCCAGAGCAAGATGTCTCTGACTTAGTCTCTGAGGGACTACATTTATCACTAGCCAAACTCTCTGAGTCGCTGTCAGTTTTGGCTTTACACGTTTTTGAATTGTTCCTCCAGACATTGACACGTTTGCCAGAATGGCGTTGTTTAGAGCATGGTTCTTTGGTGGTAAATTTGACTGGATCAGGGGATGTCGTAGACGAAGAGCTGTAGAAGCATGTTCTGGACTCACTGCTGGAAGAGTCAACATCTCTACCGCTCTCGTGCTCTTGTTTGATGTGCTGACTGAACCTCCGCAGTGAGCCCACACTGTGCTCGTCCTTGTCCAATAAAATGTTTGCGCTGTTTACGCGAAACTTGTCAAGGAGTGTGTCGTTGAACTTCCTGGAAACGATGTGCCTTCCCCAGAGCTCTTTGTCTTCCATTGGCACAATGCACTGTGCACCCATCAGACTTTGACTCGACTGGAACTCGGCACTTTTTCTGCCGTTAAAGTAATATGTGATAATTGCTGTGCTACTTTCATTCCCGTTGAAGCATGATTTGTTCACATTTCCGAGACTCGTGTCTTCTCTGTGTGAGAAAGGATTGTTTGCTTCCAGTGTTAGATCTAGACTATGCTTCATCAATGTTTTTGATTGACGCCTCGCCTTATTGTCCACTAGATCGATTGTTCCCTGTGAGGAGCTCTGAGTTTTGTCTTGACCCGAAGTCTCAAGTTCAAGCTGGTCTTTCTTTGAATTTGAAATGTTGTCATCAATTTTAAAAGTATTTGTAGGAGAAACTAGAGAATCATTGTTAACTGATTGATTGGGCTCTTGCCGTAGTTTCATTGCAGACTCGGGAGAGTCTCCAGGATAAACTGTGCTAGAGCTAAGCTTCTTTATTCTCACGCACAAGTAGATGACCAGCAGTATTAGTAGTACAATGATGACGCCTCCGACCAAGTGTATTATTAATGTATAGAATTGTCCACCTTTAAACAGGTAGGCCAGGCTATATGAATTAAAAGAAAAGAGTTGAACTTAGATGGGCACTAACAGGTGATAAAAAACGAAGGTATTTTTTTAGAAATCTAAACAACCCATGGACCTTATAGTTCAATTTTAAATTCATCGCCAGCTGTGTTACAAATATTACTACTGTGTTGCTTAGAGTTAAAAATAAAGTTCGGCTATAAAGATTCAAAAATGTGTTTCACTCAAAGGTTGAAGTTGATCTAGCAGTTATGTAAATACATTCTACGACTTGTCTTATAAAAAACATTTTAAAACACCTTTAGGCCTGGAACCGTAGAGAATGGGGCTTTGCCTGCTATTTGTTAAGGAAGTTGCCTCGATGAATTTAATGAACTAAGAACACTGACGGAGGTCGTCAAGGCCTACCTCCTTACCCAGAAGATAGAACCTTCTCTTGGGAAACGTGATAACTTTATGTAGGCTTACTTTAAAAAAAAAAAAGCACGAGGCTTCTAGTACAAATTACAAATGTTTATATTAGCATAGTCTTGAGACCGTTAAACCATAAGCACATCTCAACAAAAATTAAATGCCCTACTAAAATCCAACTTACACTTTGAACGCCCATTACCTTGCGGTGGTCGTTTCAGCATTCTTCAAAGGCAAGACCTCCAACATTGCATCCTCCACCACCACATGGAGTGATGCTCGACTTGATTTGGACAAGAAACTCTTTTCTCGTGCCTTTTTAAAGATATTATAACCAAATTGATTTTTATTAAGATGGACATTCAAAGTGCTGTTTTCTGTTGCTAGAGGAACCAAATACCCGTGAGGTCAATTGTTTAATAGGTATTGAGGTCCAAACGAGGTCGAAAAATTTTTTCTTTAAACAGTTGACTTCCAAGATGACTTGGATAACCTAATTAAGCTACCTCTGAGGTCTTTTATGAATGCACTGATTTTTTTTAAAGAGTAGACTTATGTACTAATTATAATGTCAGAATAGGACAGCTTCGTCTACTAAGGCTGATGTTGATGACAGATATGCGTACATGTAACCCAATCGTTTTGCTTAGAAACAGAATTAAAATGATTGAACTTCATGGCGACAGATTGAGGAATCCCAGACCGAACAAAATGGGCTTAAATTGGAAATTGAAATTGTCTTTAAAATAAAAAAAAAGGATCAAGGATTCAGGACACATACAACTGACCACAACGACCAAGTTCACTTCAGTTGTCTGAATGAATGGAGCAGTGACCTTGATATCGCCCAAATTTTGATCTATTGTAAAGTGAAGTAAATTTGCTGCAAAAGAAAACAAATGAAGTACAACGTTTAATGCGTGATATCTATGTCTAGATCTATATTAAGGTGACCAGATATCTATGTCTAGATCTATATTAAGGTGACCAGATATCTATGTCTAGATCTATATTAAGGTGACCAGATATCTATGTCTAGATCTATATTAAGGTGACCATATATTTGAGGAGCAAAAGCGGGGCACGTGTTGATCATTGGGAGTAAAAAGAACAGGCTTACATTTTTTAGAGTAATATTGCTTTCAACAACTTAGATGTTATTACAACGCAATTTACACACGCAATTTATACACACTATGGGCCTCCACACATACTATAGACCTGCTCACACAATGTATTTTTTTTTCCAAGATAGAACAACTTTCAGTGCAACCTATTGAAAATAACAGCTTCTCTCTCTGAGATATTCACTTCTACATCACTTTTTCTAACCAACTCGCTTCATCCAAAATGGTAAGTTGAATGCGTACTTTTTTGGGGAGGAACCTTTTCGTGCTTCTTTTCATGCTTCTTTTCGTGCTTCTTTTCATGCTTCTTTTCATGCTTTTTTCGTGCTTCTTTTCATGCTTCTTTTCATGCTTCTTTTCATGCTCTTCTTTTCATGCTTCTCTTCATGCTTCTTTTCATGCTTCTCTTCATGCTCTTCTTTTCATGCTTTTCTTTTCATGCTTCTTTTCATGTTTCTTTTCGTGCTTCTTTTCATGTTTCTTTTCATGCTTGTTTTCATGCTTCTCTTCATGCTTCTTTTCATGCTTCTTTTCATGCTTCTCTTCATGCTTCTTTTCATGCTTCTCTTCATGCTCTTCTTTTCATGCTTTTCTTTTCATGCTTCTTTTCATGTTTCTTTTCGTGCTTCTTTTCATGTTTCTTTTCATGCTTCTTTTCGTGCTTCATGCTTCTTTTCGTGCTTCTTTTCATGCTCTTCTTTTCGTGCTTCTTTTCGTGCTTCTTTTCATGCTTCTTTTCATGTTTCTTTTCATGCTTCTTTTCATGCCTCTTTTCATGCTCTTCTTTTCATGCTTCTTTTCGTGCTTCTTTTCATGCTTCTTTTCATGCTTCTTTTCATGTTTCTTTTCATGCT